GAACCCGTCCAGAGGACCTATACAATTTTTTTCCTTTTGATTTTTTAACTGGATTACTGAGATGCATCAGGACAGTTTGAATGTTGCGCGTCGTGCGCAGCCTTTGCAAGAGGAGCTTGGTCACATACGCAAAGTTGGACATATCTGTTGGATAATGGCGCTCTGAGCACAAATGTTTAATATAAAGTTGAGTTTTATAGACCAAAGTCCAAGGAGAGAAATGAAGGAGGAGAGGTTTCACTGAGGACTGACCGCTGCGCTGCTCCTGCAGACTGCTTCACCGGCTGGCTTTACTGACCCGCCTGTTTTGCTCTGCTCTGATTGGATAAAAGTGCTCTGGGGTTTGTTTCATTTGTTGAAAGTAGTGTCAAGTTTAGGGGTAGACTGGGTGGCTTCAACAAGACTGCAAAAGAAAATAGCCAGAGTTGTTATTTTTTCCTCCCTTATAGATGATGGAAATCCATCGTGGCGACGGAGAACTTTAAGCCCTGTAGACTGGACTGACTCCAGAAGTTGATCTGATGTGGATGGTACTTTCTGAGAGTTTCATTAAAATGCTTCTAGGTATTTTCATTAGATATTTTGCTAACAGACAAATGAATGTACACAAACTAATACTGCAATGGGCAATAAACAATATTTAATGTAAATGTCATTGTTCTTGTGTCATGTAATGAGTTGATCAGGATCTACGATGAGCAGAAAACACATGTACCTGCAGCAGTGCAGCCACCAGGTAGAAGGTGATGAAGATGGGTGTCAGGGTGGTGTGGCCCCCCCTTAAGGAGTTGATGGTGTAGAGGAAAATGAGGTGACCCGGGGCAACCAGGAGGAAGAGCACACGGGCAGAACGAGAGTTCACAGCTGGAAGAGACAGACATTTCCTCACTCTGCTGCTGTTTTACTGCTATCCTCTACATCAGTGGTTCCCAAACTTTTTGTCTTCTGACCCACAAAATATCCATGGCAAAAACTTGTGACCCCAAATATTACACGAACTTTGTTAATAACCCTAAAAACACAGGCTTTTTGACAACCTAAACAGCTTGTACAAATACTTAGTTATACTTTTTTGTGTGTTTTTGTAATAGTTATAGGGAAAATATTACATCAGCAATTATTTTATTACCTTTTAAATTGATTTCTGGAGATTATCCAAGGTGCTTCATGACCCATAATTGGGTCCCAAGCCCAACTTTGGGAACCAAAGTGCAGTGGTTCCCAAACTTTTCAGCTTATGACCCACAGAATAGTACAAAACAGTAGCAGAGACCTGTGCCCCCAACTATTTTTGGATGATAAACATTTGTATCAGGTCAACAAAACATGGGCATAGTAACAATATTTTTATACTATATTTATCCATTTTAAATATACTAACCTCACTCCTTTGTAACAACTAAGGCAAAAATGTAATTAATTCAGAAAATATTTTCAGGACCCCACCTTGATGTTTCGGGACCGTACTTTGGGTCCCGACCCCAACTTTGGGAAACACTGCTCTACATGATGATGATACTATGTTTATTTGAGTCTTTGATATGAACTTCATGAGGAAAGGCATGAAGACAAAGTGGGGAGCATTCTACTAGTGTGGGTGGTCTTACTGGAGCCAAAAAAAGAAGAGCAGGGGGTTGGACACTTCCTGGGAGCAGGGTTGGGATCCCCCATGGGCAGACCATTCATGTGGAGGTAGGTGGAGATCCGACTGGCCTGGACTGCCACCAGGTTTCCTCCCACACCTGAAAAACACACATAATTGTAGTAATTTGCCAACTGCTGGTGTTACAGGACGTTACAAACGGTGATCGTGGGGAAGATGCACAGCAGGGTTAGAGGAGAGTGCTGCCATGTTGTCCCTACTTCAAAGAGACTAAATCTGATCAGGGTAAAATTCTGGAGGTTTAAGACTTCTCACCATTGATGACAGGAGTGAAGACAGCCATGCCGGCAAAGTTTGGGTTGGTGACGGTCTTGTCGAGGATCAGACCTCCAACACTGAAAGAGAAGAACATCTCTATCACATCCCACACGCCACCCCTTCTATCGGTTCAATCTTCCGGACCTTTTTCAGGTGATGAGCAAACACAAGAATCTCTGCTCCCCACCTGCTGATAGCCATGGCGATGATGACCGGCTCCCAGCCAGAGTACAGGACATCTCTGGTAGAGGGGATCTTCCTGGCAATCAGCACCCACAGGGGGCACATGGCCACGAACACGGCACACACCAGTGGGTTGGCAAAGTCGTTATACTCTGGATTGGAGGGAAGTGACGCACATCAAACATGAGTTACAAATTATTTTTTAAACATGAGGAAAACAACTTTAGCAACAGGGATTAAAGTCTATTTGTCAGGTTTAGTTCATATTTGCAGAACCCGTAAATGTGTACTTTATGGACTGATTGCTATGTAGCATTCTTCTGACGGCAGCATAAAATATGTTTTTAAAATATGTACCAGGAGAAAATGTAAACATCACACAAAAAGACTCCAGGTCCAAACCCAGGACCCTCTGAGCCATTGTGCGGATTATGGAGCATACCAGAAGAGGATTTATTTAAAAGTCTGGCATTAAAGGTAATGGCGGATAAGCATTCATTCAAGTATTATAATTATCTTTTGAAAAAAATATTTTTAATCAGATAGATTTTTAACAAAGAACTTGATCAATAAATAATTGACAGACAGTAAAACATAATAGTTTGAGTGTATTTTCAGAAAAAAAACAAAGTAAAACTTTTTTAATATTGGCTTTGATAAAAAGAGTGACTTCACAGTTCGTCCTGTAGGTTGCAGTGTTCATCGACTGAAGCTGCAGAACTCAAAGCCACAAAGAAATGCAGCATCCAGCAACAACTCAGACAAGTCAAGCACAGCAGCTGGCTTTGTTCAGCACGTGGGATAGTTTGAGCTCCATCACACAAAGAATGTCAGAAACAAGGTAAGGGTTAGAAACATGTCTGACAGAAGAGGAAGTCTCATGACTCTGTGGCTTTGTGTGTTTGTGTGTACTAGTTTCTGCTACAGAGTGAGGACCACTTGCAAAATAGTTACTATCAGTGAGGTCTTTGGTATAAAGTGAGGACCTTGTCCTGGACCTCTCCTGGTTAGGTTTAGAGGTATGGAATGAATTATGTTCATGTTCAGGATAGGTTTAGGAATAGGAATAGACTAGTTATGGTTAGAGTTAGGAATAGACTAGTAATGTTTAGGGTTAGGAATAAAATATTAATTGTTAGGGTTAGAAATAGACTAGTAATGGTTAGTTTTAGGGAAAATGTCTGGGTTAGGCATAAAGTTACAAAAGGAATGGAAGTCAATACAAAGTCCTCAGTTCGATGCAAGTACAAGGATGTGTGTGTGTGTGTGTGTGTGTGTGTGTGTGTGTGTGTGTGTGTGTGTGTGTGTGTGTGTGTGATCTAAACTTGTTGCATGAAAGGTGGAAGCTGAACTGTTTTCCTACATGGGGTGCAAAGATTTTAATGATGGTAACATTTATTTGCTTTAACTAGAAGCATAGCAGTAGCATATATGACCACACACATATGCAAAGCACCAATGCACAAGAACTCATGAAGTCACCAGAACAAATTTACTGTTTTGGGTGGGGGTCTGAATGGGATGAGGGGGTGTTGGTGGGGGGCACTCATTGGTGGGCCYGATAGCAGTGGCACCTGTAGAAATCTTTTTCAGGGGGAGCCATGGGGGGCCACTGAAAAACCAGGGGTGGCACACCAAAACTAATATCTACAACAAAAATTTTATCATATGGTTGTAAAAAGGACAATTTGATAGCTATGGCGATATCAAATCTATGGATTTGCCAACAGATGTTCAATTTGTAATTTTATAGTTAATATTACTGATTTTGAGATGTACAGAGACAAAAACAATAACAAAACGATCTGCACCTCTGCAACAGTCCATTTCTAACTTGTTCTGTATCTTTACACATGGGGTACCATAAGTTGTCCTTACATTGTTACATATTTCAGTGGCATCAGAAGTATTTGTAATGTTGGGGGGACCCACTTGTGGGGGGTCTGGGGGTCTTCCCCTAGGAAATTTTAAAAGAAGTAGATGCCATTTCCTGCATTTTGGTGTATTTTAACAGGTTGTTAAACAGAGTTTTACCTACATAGAGTATTCTGAGTATTCTATAAATTAAGTGGAATAAATTTATTTGTTAAGCAAGAAAACACTGAGTGAAGTAATATTTTATGGTAAATGTGGGGGTTCAAATGAATTCAATTTTAAATGTGATGGGAAAACTTCCCTTCAAAAATGATTGCTGTGATGCCTGTCATTTTATTTAAAAATGTCAATATATATATATTAAAGACATTTACAAGGAACAAGCTTTTTAAATTTTAAAGCCATCACCTCTTCTATGCATTTTAAAAGTTTTATTTGCTTGTCGATGTTTAGTTTTGTGAAGAAAAACAGTAATTATAAAACCCCAAAACTGGAAATAAAGACTAAAACAAGCACAATTACAAACTACATCTACTGTAGTATTAACCCAAACTCTTCACAGTGGAGCTGGCATACACACATGCCGCAGCCATCCAATCCAGTCATTTTAAACTTCAACAGAGGCCACACCTCCAGCAAGAATTGCTTCTCTATAGTTATTTTCTTTTTTATGTCATATCAGTTTTAATAAATATGATTTTGGTCTGTGAGAGAAAACTGGAGTACCTGGAGAAAACCCACTCCTTCACAGGGAGAACATATAAACACAACCTAGAATGTTTATCCAGCAATCTTCTTCCTTAGAGCCAATATGTTGCTCTTCCAACTGTGCCACAGTACTGCCTAATTTTATATTTTTAATATAATTATTTAAATCATTTAATTAATATTTAATTAAAAAATATCTATGAATATAACCCCCTGAGAACCTTCATCTTTATTTGAGAACAATGGGCCTCATGCAAGAACATGCTCGTATTCTTATCCTAAATTTCTCTTACTTTTGTTCGTGCAAAGGGTTCGTACGAACATGTCACGTCAGATTCAACAAACTCTTCTATCTTCAGGAAAAGTGTGTAAATGAGCTGCGTAAATTCCACCTGTTCGTATC